TAACAAACTGGCAGAAAATGCTGTAAGAAATTGCTGTAGTCAGTCCAACTGTCTTCAAAACCTGTCCTACACCAGGACTGATAATGTTTAAGTACTTCTCTTACATGATGACTTCTTGATAAGAAACTGGGAGAATATGCTGTATTTATCCAATAACCTTTAATATTGGCTTATGTAAATGTTTCGTATTTCTGCAGCTCACTAGGGAGATATCTATTATTTGTCATGTCACCTATTCCCCATACTTCAATACAATATGTTGAAAAGGTTTAGCATAGGTAGAGCTGGGACTTACCAAAAATTGTGAAGGTATCTTGAGTTTGTTCCCTTGTAAACTTATGCACACACATCCAAAATAATATCATTGTTGCGCATACTTTTCACTGCTAATTCCTTCTATCAAGTTCTTTCAAAATTTTTCTCAACTGCTCAGCCAATTCTTGTGATCGCTCTTGTTTCAAGAGGAGGAATTCCTGCAATTGTTGGGGAATGTCACTAAGTTTCTTTGCAAGGTTTCCTTACAACCTGAGACCATTTGGTTGCCATGGAAAGAGAAAAAATATATTTGGTGACTAAAATTTTGACAAAAATCACCAATTGGCAACCAACAGATTTTTAAAAGAAGGGAAAAGAAAAACATGCAAAATTTATTGATCCTCAATATCAAATTATCAAATTAACAAATGCTGTCATATCCTGTCTCTCTCTCTCTCTCTCTCTCTCTCTCTCTGTTCCATAACTCCTAAATATGCATAAACCTTAAATGAGCAGTTATCAAGTGAACCTGACTTCATTGTAATAAACTTCATTTCATATTATGTGCAGTATCTTCATCTAGCCTCTAACTTTGCAGTAAGAAGTATGGTGACTAAATACCAATTGATTCAAGATGTTATTTACAGTATGGAAGGTTTTAATGCCAATATTTCAGCTCACTTCAATGTTTCTCAGCTGACCAATAGACTAATATTGTATTTAAACATGATTCTTTTCTTGGCCTTAGCAACTTTGAAGTAAATCATTTCTGCTTCCAGACATTAGCTTGCAGTGCAGGCATCTTATTAGGACAAGTTAACATCAGTAAGCTTGGGGCTGTTAATTTGACCTACCATATTTGATTCTGATATTATGTAAATGACTGATGTATAGTACTAACCCACATGTAAAACAACCTCTTCACATCAAATGTTGGGAACTGCATGAACTAAACACCTACATGTGATTTATTCCTTTAATAATTGGTTTTCATGAACCACTCTATAACAGGCCCCCATTTAAACCAGCTGTTGAAGATGACCTGGGCTAGACTGTTTAAATCTTTCCAGTAAATACAGAAGCAAATACGGCAACTCTTCCACAGTATCCATCGGTGATCTCCACTTGTTTGAAGTCAGAGCCTGCCACTGACAAAGGTCCAATATCAGGGCAAACCTCATTTGTCAAACACTTAACATTATCAAATAAAAGTGGTTAAGTTATTAAAAAAAATGGAATGTTACCATCAGCAGGGAAATTGTGTATGCATTCATGACCTTCTCACAAGGCATAAAGCTACCAGGCTGATATTCAGTCCAACTGTCTTCAGAACATGGCCTACACCAGGACTAATAATGTATAAGTACTTCTCTTCCATAGTGATTTCTTGATAACAAACTGGGAGAAAATGCTTTAAGAAAATGCTGTAGTTAGTCGAATTGTCTTCAAAACCTGTCCTACACCAGGACTGATAATATTTAAGTACTTCTCTTACATGACGATTTCTTGATTAGAAACTGGGAGAAAATGCTGTATTTATCCAATAACCTTTAATATTGGCTTATGTAAATGTTTCGTATTTCTGCAGCTCACAAGGGAGATATCTATTATTTGTCATGTCATCCTCTCTCCATACTTCAATATAATATGTTGAAGAGGGTTAACATTGGTAGAGCTGGTCATGTCCCAAACATTGTGAAGGTATCTTGAGTTTGTTCCCTTGTAAACTTATGCACACATATCCAAAATAAAATCATTGTTGCTCACACTGTCCACTGCTAATTCCTTCTCTCAAGCTCTTTTAAAATTTCTCTTTAGTACTCAGCCAATTCTTGTGATGTCTCTTGTTTCAAAAGGGGGAATTCTTGCAATTGTTGGGGAATGTCACTAAGTTTCTTTGCTAGGTATTCTCATATCTTGTGACCATTTTTGGCCAATTCTCTTAATGGCTCTCATTTCAAGAGTAGGAATTCCTGCTATTTTTGGCAAATGTCACTAAGTTCCTTTGCAAGGTTTTCTCAGAACCAGTGACCATTCTGGTTGCAATGGCAAGTGAAAAATGTATTTGGTAACCAAAATTTTGATAAAAGTCGCCAATTGTCAACCATCAGATTAAAAGAAAAAATGGGAGAAGGAAAATGTAAAAAACTGTATTGATCCTTCGTCAAATTATCAAATGTTGGTAATTTTCCTGTCTTTGTCTTCTCTCCCAAATATGTTTAAACCTTACATGAGCAGTTATCAAGTCAAACTAATTTTGTTGAGATGAAATTCAATACATATTATTATATTAAGCCAAATACATCTACCTATAGCTTTTATTCCAAAGTGTGCTGATTACAAATGTGGACCAATACCACCATCAGTACAAGGGCATGCTGTGTGAACACTGATCTCCAAGACCTTGGACAAATAGACATTAGTGACTTTGCTGAATCTTTCCCTGTTGTGCACAAATATAGTCAAATATTGTTATACAGATAATGTCCCATTGATACGAGGTTTCTTCTTTTTACATTTTTTGTGGGGGGTGGGATGGGGTGGGGCATGGAGGGGGGGGAGGTGACCAAAATTTATCTTATGGTGACCATTTTACAATTAAAGGTTGCCCAATGGTGAATTATTGAAAAATTGAGCTTAGAGCCCTGTCATATGTCAAGCCGAAATTGTTCCTACTAGGAAATTCAAGAATTAATTTTGCTTCTTAACAATTTATATACATTTTGGTTCTTTGTTCTTAATTTTTCAAACACATATTCATGAAACTAGGCATTTTCATTTTGATGGTGACTTGTTCTACCTTTGGAGGTTTCCTTCAAACATCAGTAATATGCAAATTTTAAATTTCTGAAGAATCCACCAGGCTAAAAGTATATCTCTTCCACTTGCCAGTCCCTGTTCCCACCAGAATGAGCCCACTGATATGCAAGGAAGAGAAGTGTTAAGAGACACTTCAGCTAGTTAAGATATGCTGGAATTTTTAACTCTGACCTGTCCTTTGAAAAATCCTACCTATGCTCCTGAAGAAGTTCTAAGTAGAAACATCAAGAAGATTAAAGAAACAGATCATTCTGGTAAAACTCACTTTTTGACTCTAACTAGAAAAATTAAATATTTAAAAGCTTTCCAGTTGTTTGGATCACAGTAAGAAGATTATTTGATCTGCTTTAGAGATACTAGCCTTTAATTCTTCAACATGTAAAAGGAGAAAAGAACCGCAATGGCAAAACTTTTAAAAGTAAACCTTCAATGCTGGCTTAATTACTACAGTTGTACGTTTAATATACTTTTTAATTTATTTAGCTATTTTATTGCTTTTTGGCATTGTTTAAAGTAATTTTGTAGGTATTGAACACTTCAAGTATTTTTGAGGTATTGCCAAAAAATATGTGATTAAAAATTGTGCCATCTTACCAATAGTATAAGTAGAAGTAAGTATCTTTTGTGGGGTTAGTTTGTAGCAATAGGTATTGTAATTATCAGTATTGTATGGATTGTAAATAAAAAACCAATGTCAGGATTGTAAGTTATTTTAGTATTGTGAGTAATACTACAGTGTCAGTATTTCTGGTAATGCTAGTATGGTATGCAATGTGTGGTATTTAAATAGAAATAAAATATGATAAAAATGTAACTTATAGTAGAGTTCCTTCTTTCTGGTTTCCGATAGGTATTGCTGCATTTCATAGGGATGCCTCTAATTGGCACTTTTTCCTTAAGTTTTGCTCTCTGTTGCACACAATTTACCAGGCTAGCCTCATTCCCCCTGTCACTTGACCAGCTAAATTCCCATGGCTGCCATATTTGCTTGGTTTAGATCTCGTATTTGAAAAAGCATAGGAAATCAAGGATTCATTGGCTGAAAAATATGCAAATTCACCCAGGCAACAAAGTATTTTGTCATTCTTGATCTGAATAATTACTCTTTTCAGATGTTTTGGTCTACCTTTCTGCTCAGCTGTTGTTATCTTATTTAGATGTAGTACGTGCATTCAGTAGTTAATTTGGAGTCACATGATATCAAATGTTTAACTTCGTTTACCTCGTTCCTAAGGTCCTCTCTCTTCCGTCCTTTAGTATTTTCTTGAGGGAGGAAGAGAGAGGACTCTGGAAAAGAGTTTGGGGTAAGTTTGCAAAAGCTTACGCTATGACATCCGAGGGTAACAGCGCATCCCTGAGTACCCGCCATTGCACATGAACAGAGCATTCTTGGAGGTGGCGTGACATTTCAGCATGGTGACTGACTAACAAATGTTGCAATCTTTTGTGCTTGTTTGTTATAGTTATTTTTTCGTATGTGATTCTTTTTTACTTATTTATTTCGTTAAGCTTAGCAGCACCCTCGGAATGACCTGCAGTAGCCTGTAATGCTGCCGTAAAAGTCAAGCTTATAGCAACTATAATTTTCGCCAGGAAATACAGAGCACTCCGGCGTTCACTGAGGTCTTCAGACACTTTACGTTTCTACCTTACCATAAGTCATTAACATTGTTTATTGTCTCCCCCTATCAAAGATCCATTAATAGAGAGGTAATATAAAGATGAATCGAACACAAATCAGAGAACCGTATCTTTGAGTTTTCATACCGCGTTAAAAACTGCGTAGGAAGCAAGACTGGAGAGAGCGAAAGCAAGAAAGCACGAAAGCTGAATTCGCGGGAATTTTTCAACCAATGAAATGCCGAATGCAATGAACAGCAAGCGTGGCTTTCCATTCCCATAATGCCTCATTTCAAAGAAGAAAAGAAGATGGCGTCGTTGAAAGTGTTTGGTGGTAATGGAACTGAGGAAGGTAAATTTCGGTACCCAAATGGTATGGCAGTCAGTAACAAAGGCGAAATTGCCGTTATAGATACGTGTAATCACCGTGTCCAACTATTCAAGTCTGATGGCGAGTTTTTGAGTTCGTTTGGTGCCCAAGGAGTTACCGATGCTTACATGAATTTCCCATACTGTGCTACCTTCGATACTGACGGAAATATCATCGTCACTGACTCGGACAATCACAGAGTGGTAGTGTTCTCATCAGCCGGCGAACTAATACGGGTTATCGCTAGCGAAAACCTGAGAAATCCCTGGGGTGTTTGTATCGCAGGCGATGGCAATATCGCGGTTTGTAGTGGCGGCGAAAAGGGAGAAGTTCAAGTATACTCGCCAGAGGGTACACTACTAAAGCAGTTTAGCGATCCAAAAACGAATAATCGTCCATCCTACGTCACCTACAGTCACGAAAAGTACTTTGTGTCTTACAGTGACGATCAGTGTGTGAAAGTGTTCGACAGTCAAGGAAATTTCCTGTTTGACATCGGCGAATCTGGGTTTTGCGACGGGCAGTTCAACAGACCGCGTGGACTGGCAGTCGATCAACATGATCAGTTGTTGGTATGTGACGGATGGAATAATCGGATACAAGTTTTCAGTTTGGATGGCTCGTTCCTCACGAAGTTTGGAAGTCGCGGCAAAGGAGCTGGACAGTTCATTTTCCCTATCGACCTATCGATCACCCCAGATGGACAAATTTTAGTCTGTGAAGTCAAAGGAGAGCGTGTTCAGGTTTTTCAAGGATTAGATAATCACCAATGTAAAGACCAATAACTAGTATTGTTGTAGTACCATTCCTTGTTAATTATTTTGGGAGAGCTATCGATCGATACTTAAAACCCTTTTTCTCCGTAAGCTATACGTGTATTGTCGATGAATTTCGTGTGATTTATACAGTAAGTTTCGACTTTGTCATGGACATTGCAACTTAGAAGTCACGCACCATGGACTTGAACTCTTTACACCGTTTTGTTCGTGTTTTGATAGTATTTTAGAGCAAGCCTAGTGACAAGTAGTGTGTAGTATTACTATTACCTCTTTATTAGTAAATTGTTTAGGGCCAAAATCCCTTTAGTCGATATCATGATACAGTATATTTCTGTACTAGACCCTCTGAAAGTCTTTAGTAATTCAGTAACCCTCATCAAATGTTTGGAAACAGTTGCTTTTTGTATTTAGAAAACATAGAAGCCATTTTCCTTTACTTGTTAATGTTATCAAACATAACCACTCAAAGGATATATTTAGGTAGGAACAAGACTGATGCACTGTGACCTGTAAACCTTTTTGTAACTGCATATTTCTTTTATTTTACTCCTTTTTCGGTGTTGTGGATTCCTCTACTTGTTTTTTTCTTTTTTGAATTCAGGATGATCCAAAGTATTAAACAAACACAAAAGAGGGGAGATATTTTTTCCTTTTTGTTGTTGTTGTGAATGTCTTGTTCGATCAAAACAATTTTTAAATGACATAGGATGTATTTCAAAAGCTAGAAGTAACATCCCTTACTTGATGTTTAACCGACAACAGATACAGCCATTTTAATTATTTGGCTCATTTTTTTCACTACCTTTATGGCAAAACATCAGCCAAAATGATATCTTAATCCACTGGGATTATTTATCAGGTAAACTGTCTTAAAAACAACAGGATCCAGAGTGAGTGTAAACTGATAATGCATCCTATGTGCTGTACAGTGAGAAATGAAAGTGAAACATTAAGTGAAGGAAGGGATCAAACAGAAGAATACCTTTCTTTTGTGATTGTATAAAACCTCAGTGGTAACTTTCAAGTAGAGATGGGCCATTCCTTGGGGTACTAGTTTCAATTGATCTTTCATACACTTGTTTTTGCTCATCTTTTGCAAACACTTTAACAGTGATAATAATCCTCAAGCAGAATTGAATTTAAGAGCCACGTGATGGGCAACAAGTAAAATATGTTATAGAAAAGAGTGATAACAATCTTAAGATAAATTTGTTATTCTTTGATTTTTAGCAATGTGATCTAAGTTTCATATTTAATGATACATTTACTAGTACTTGTATTTAATATCATACTACTGGGAATATGTACATAACTTTGAGAGCTCTTTCTCTATTCAGGATTGGTTGAGTTCTGTTTGTGAGCTTGGTCTGATTTATTTCCATATAGTTCCATAGCCTGATTTGTAATCTTAATTCATTTCAAATTTGTTTATTGTAATTACTGTGTGATGCATTTTGAAGGGCAGTTTCTCAACTAGCATGATGTGGGAGAAGAGTCCTCTATAACTAGTGGCTTAATCTAGGAGTATCAGTTCATCATGCTGTATGATGTTGGGCTGATAGTAGTCCTGAAAAGGACTGCTGTTAGCAACACTGACTGACATTTCAATAGCCTGTGTGGAAGTTACTGTCAGGGTTGAATTAGGAGTTGTTAACACACTTTGCTACAACAATAAATACTGTACAGATATTCCAAATGCCAGTATGTGACTCTCACCAGCTCTCTCTAGGTTCTCCAGCTCCAGGTTCATCTTACCACATGATTGGGAGTCAGCAGCAGTAAGGAATAAGAAGCCCAGACCTTGACATGTTCACTCATAGTAGACATGTTTTTCTGTTTACTGTTTTCTCTTTGTGCAAGATTGTAAGGTTTAAGTATCTGTTACTGCTTTACCTTAAGCTCAGGCAAAATAATTAAGAATGTATGCCACAGCATTAAATCAGCACAATAAGCTTGTATGAAATATTTTACTGTAATAAATCACAAGAAATGAATTACCCTGTGTCCCAATTCTTGATTGATAAATTGAAATAATTGAAAAAACATAGAACCACTACATGTAGTGATTAATTTATTGCAATTTCCAGGTTATATTATTTGTAACTCTCCCTTGGCAGGGATGACCAATGATAAGGGGGCATTTTCTCCCCTCAAGATTATTTCTGTCAAGCTCGCAGTTGATTAAGAAATAATCAATTTGTATGTTGGGGACCTTGTCTACAACAAGGGATATTTTCAAAATTGAAGAGTGATATTTTCTGTTTCCATTCAATACGGTATGCATGCACATGAAGCATGTTGGAATTGGCTTTTTTCTGTTCACAGGTATCCAAACTAAGAGGATTCAATAGGAAAAAAAATACTGACAGGTCAGTAAAACTTTGCATTATTCTCATACACACAAAATTAACTTGGATCCCTTCAGAAACCTTCAGTTTGGTTGTCAAAAACTCTGTGTAGACATAAACTTGATGTAACCACAACAATCTCAGTCTCTCTAAAATACCAGATTTATAAGGACTGGGCTTTGATAAAACAGCAAGAACTATGTATAGTGATTAAAAAACGAAGGTGCATGCTAATTGTGCCAGGAAAATTAAGCCTCAGTAATGGGGGGTGGAGTGGCTAAAATGCTATTCTTCTTACACGTTGGTAAAAGTTTAGGTGATGCAGATAACCCTGACAGCAACACTGAAAAATAAACCAATTTTGGATCAATTGTAATTTCTTTCCCCAAGTCATAACAAGGTGAAATTCTGCATTCAGACTGTTGTTAAACCTTTCCACTCCCACAATCTTGTTACTAATTCTCCTAACTGTCTGACATACAATTCTTGTAATATTAGTTCAGGGAAATTGATATTGGATCACCAAGGAATCACATTATTGACATTTTCCATTATTCCTGCCACTTTTCTGCTTGGTATCATTTTGATATTTTAAGGATTTTCTGTTAGCTACAACCCTGACTTTCCCTCCATACACATACAATAGTCCTTCTCTTGTCCTAAAGATAAGTTAAACATGAAACAGCTGTAACATTTAAACTGTAATTTTTACTACCACAACAAGTTTGCACAAATTCTCATTGATCTCAGGGCAATTATACTAGTGTTCCCAAAAACAAAAGCTATAAAAAACATACACTTCACTACTCTTAATTATTATGGCAAAAATAGAACCCTGCACTGATTGCATTCATCAAAGGCTACTTCTATTAAGAGATCTAAAAGCACTTCAATGTAATGCACTGACACTTCTTCACAATTCAGTCTAACTGTACATTCTTTTGCTAGTATTATTTGCATTTCTTGGTCTGTAGTTGCACTGCTGTTTGCCTGCCCTGTAATTTACATCCCTGATACTTTACGAACAGTCCTTCGAAACATGCTAGATCCACGCCACAAGTTCCCCTAAAAGAAAGGGATAATAATTAATAATTTTAAGAATCTGTAAGAAATCCTTAATACACACCATTTGTAAAGAAAGATTATGAATAAAGTTGGTGACAATAAATTAATATACATCTAAAACATTAGAAGGGGGTTGCAACATCCTGCTCAACCAAAAGCTGCTCTATCTTTACACGACACACTAGATCTAGCTGATCTGCACTTAAGCTTACGGCTACATAGAAGATATATTTGACATGTTTCATCAATTTCTTCAACTGCAACTCACCGTTTTTTTCAGATAACTAAAACAATCTCTCCACCCATCAAACACTGGCATTGCAGGAGGCTTTCCACCAGCCAGGCTAAAGAAAAATGCCAAGGAAAATATGACTGTCTAAAAGCATACTCAGTTCAAACCTAAATAACTCTAAGCATTGTAAATCTAACCTCTTTTTGTTGTGTAACGGGAATCTTTCATTATATAAATAACCTACAGGTTTACAGTAGGCTTTGATATAAATAGCCTGCAAGCAGGATTAAATATAAATAGCCTGCAAGCAGACTTAAAGAGGCAATAGGTTGACCCACTTGAGGACACGAGTTGGATAAAGTCTCATTCTTTGCCTCTGGTCTCTCATTTCATATCCAAGTATAAATGCCATATATAAAATTCTGTTTTAAGACTAATTCTTATACTCCAGAGCTGTATATATCATTATTTGTTAACAAACATAAAATACCACTTATCTTTTATTTTTCCCTGAGTATTACACAGTTATTTTATCAAAATAATTTTTTTGTATTATTTTACTGGCTTTGCTCTGAAAGACATTGATTATAAGCTTAATTTTCAAATTTGTGTTCAATATATAAAGTAAAGCTAACCCAACATTATTGACTATCATCATGTGTGAAACCAACACAAATGGGTGGGTCGCAACTCCAGCAGCATACTGCAAAACAAACAGAAAACAATATGTAGCCTTTAACTCTATAACTCCCAGATCAAATTTGTAATTCTCCTCATTGTCAACCATACAATTCTTATCATGTGAGTTCAGAGAATTTAGTATTGAATCAACTAATTATCCCCATATTGATATTTTTCTTTATTCTCATCACTTATCTGGTTGATATTGTATTGATATTGTGAGGAAAAATTCTGTCTTGGTCACTAATGGAAGTTAAAGGGTTAAATTGAAAATAATTCAATTTTTTGACAACTTTATATTCAGATTCAACACACATTAGTCATGAGTTAATCCTAATCACACTTAGAAAATATATCAATAATATTATTAATAATCATGGAAAAATGTAAATCAGGTTAGGTTAGTTTGCACAATAATATGATTTGGTAATAAAAGATGATTGTAATAAATTGTCTGAGCAAATTAAAGATGTCTATCAGGCATGCTACCTGGAAAAGTCCATTTGTATACACTTGTACTTCTTTTCTTCTGCTGACCTGCAAATTTACAAATCACTTCATCTTTATTGGCAGGTTCATTAAGGCATACTATTACTTATCACATTAACTTGCTGACAAAACTGAATACAAATAATATTAACTACTGATATCACAGCATGAATCAAACTGAACAGCTAGTCAGTTGCATTACCCTGCTACTTGAGAGTTTTTTCTGTCTTCAAAATCAATAACAAGTACTCTAGAGGTAGAATGAGGTGTAACATGTTACACCTCACTCTACCTCTAAAGTACTTGTTCATCTTGAATCACAAACCACTACCAAGGTTGTAAAGTACATGCACATTGCAATTCTAAGTTTTGTATGAGGTAAGCTTCAAGAAATGTTTAAAATGTGAGTGAAAACACTATGTAGAAGGTATAATATCTTTCACTTGCCTTTAAAATGCCTTTAACCTGCCTTCAACATGGCAAATTTGACATGCATGTGAAATTTTCATGTGAAGTACAATGAAGGCATGAAAAACATGTGAAGACTGTGCCTTGATTTTATCATTTTTAAGCCCTTGATTATGGGCAGATATGCATCTAGTAAAAAAAGCAAATTTTTGATTTGTTTATACTCACCTCACTGTCAATAGCATATTTGCTGATCAAGAAGCAAGCTCCTCGATATAACAAAAGGGACAGGACTTCTCCAACAAGACGAGGAATGATACCACTGTTGACACCAAGAGATGACATTCAACAAGACATTGATTAAATGCTATTGTTAAGTGATTCGCAATTGAATTATTTCTTAACCATTAGCCACTAAACTCTTCTTTGCAATGCAACTATCACTGTGAATAGTTACTTTTGAATAAAGCAAAGCACCTGCTGAACAAGAAATTTCTAATTAAAAGTAACACTTCTTTTATTCAAGCTACATTTTGTGCCTGGACCTCTTGATTGCATTTGATTGACTTTCAACCAAGAATGAAAGCTAATGCTGATTTAATTTTACAATTATCCCACTTAGAAAAAACTAATGATTAACTACTATAATTCAAATCCTAGTAACAAAGGATAAAAAACATAAGACATATAACTTAAAGTTTTCTTAATTTTAACTCCATAGTTATTCAGTAACAGAATATTCATTTATTAATAACAAATTCATAAAACTATTCTATCATCTGATATTTCCTACCTAAAAAATCCAGCAAGTCCTTCATTGTTATAGATCTCTTTGACTGATGCACGTAGTCCACTGAAAACAGATTTGTTATCACAGGCAATAAGATAAAAATGTACATGTTCTTGTCCATGATTGGCACATGCAAGTAACGAAAGGAACATTCAACTTATCAGAACTCCCAGAAGTGACAAACATGTAACTTCTCCCCATAATCTCCATACACTATCCAGCAAACAGGTAATGAGAATATTTAAAATTATCAGGGGGAAGTCGTTATCTTGATCTACCACCAAAGTCTCATAACTAATTCACAATGATGTGTTGCAGCTGGAGGGGAGATTTAACAATCAAATGTTGGGAGTTAAAAGGTTAAATCAATGAAATGTTTGCTGTTACAATTCCAGATAGTAAATTGAATTTGGAAAGTGAGTAAATTTTAAGAAAATCAGCCAATTCAAAAGAGGTGACCTCTTAAAATTTAAAAATTGTCAAATAGAGATGAAATATCATTTAGTGGATTGTGAGAAAAGAACTGACCTGTAAATAGTTTCTTGACCAACGAACTGAACCATCATTCTGACTGAGATCACTAGAAATTAAATAGGAGAGGTGTCAGTGGTCTATCAAAATTTGCTAAAAACATAAATTAATAAACAAATTAATTAATTAAAAATAATACAAATTACAACAATTATAGACCACTTATCTCCTTTAACTTTGTCATCTAGAAATTAATAGCCTTGAATGTCTCATATTCAATTGAAATTCAAGCCATTATGATCTAAGGCACAGTTTTGTTACTTTACCATAAAATGGGTGACTGATAATGATACCACTGCATTTTGCCACAGTCTGTACACAGGTCTTAATAGAAAAAAATATGTTAGTTTAAACATCAACATGGAGGTATGTGACCCAGACCAGCCTATAGTACTTAATATCCTTTTTTCTGACACATAAATCAACCAAGAGTATGAATATTTCCTACAACACCGCTCGCGTATATGTTAACCGAAATCCACCATGTTTTCCTAACAGTTTACAGGTAATCATTTATATTCCTTTGATCGATACATACATTGACTGAGAGGTTACTGTAGTAAAGTTTGTCAGAGACCCCCTTTACCCATAAACCTGTAAAAGTGACTAGCATCTAATTTCTCCTTACAATATCACCCTGAATCAAATATTAATGTCACAAGAATAAAGGAAATCATCACCAACAAAAGAAGCTATTGATTATTAAACAAACTCTCCCATCCAGCACCCTTGGAAATGAATAGAGAACAGTATGGCAATTATGCATATTGATGTTAGGGTGTAAAGAGTTATTCAAAGGTAAAACCCATACCCATACTCCTCAGTCCAGAGTTTGGTACAAACCATTGTGCTTAATATATTTTCTAAAAAGTCAGATTCCCCCATTTAAGCAAAAAGTAAGAGCAAAATTGGTTGAAATACCTCCTCAACAAACTCTAACAATTCTTCTTGCCTGCTCTAAAATTTCAAGAATATACAGAGAAAAAAGATTAACATACAGAGCTGCACAATTCAAATCATTCTAATTAAGATGAAAAAAAATATATAACATACAATAAAAAAGTGGCAAACCCACCTTATTTTCTGGAGGAACCAGTGGGACAAGGGCATTGTCTTTTTTACCCATAGCCTATTCAACACACAATTCACATAAGATTATATCACAATTGATGTAAGGTACAAAATTCAAATTACACTTTGGAAAAATCAAACTTTAGAAGGAATGCAGTAAACAAATTTAACAACTGCATCATTAAGTGGAGGTTGGGTGCCTGAAACATCCAGGAGCTTCCACTATTGGCAGCCAGCTCCTAGATGGAGACAATGGCTGGCAAATCCTGACAACCCAGCCATGAGCCCCCACACAGGGAAACAGGCACCTGTCACACTGAATAAACAGTGGAAAGAGGGAGGGAATGGGTAGGAAAAACTGCCTGGATGATGAGCTGGCACTCCTCACAATGCAGCAAGTTCACACTCAAAGTGCATGCAAGAATACCTCAAATAAACAGCACATGGAATTCAGACGTATGCACATATGCAAAAAACTGCTGACTACTAGAGAACGCTAATGCTCTTTGTTGTTAACTTCATTAAATTGCATTTAACTGCATTATAGTTAAAGTGAATTAATGGTAATACCTGCAGCAGTGTATTGTTTACAAGAGTTCCAATCATTGATGAGTAGACCCTGACAACAGTTATAGCAGAACAATCAATGTAATACCAGAAATAAAGTTTCCCAAAATTGATGAAAATTACCTGAGAGATTAGAGGGAATTTCACCTCACACAAGCCACGAGGAGAGGAGATACTTCAACATACAAAAATGCATCCTACACTTTGCAAAATATTTTGCTACTGTTGAACAAACTAAGGCCCAATGCTTTCATGTGGAGACACAGTGAGAGCACTTAAGAATATCAACATTTAAATCAATCTACTTTTAACCCCTTCTTTTTTTTTTTTCACAGAAATTACACATAAATAATGACAACTGATCCCACTAGAGACTAAAAAAAATTTGTACTTGAGACAAGTGGCCCATCCAGGTGCAGCTTATCCCTGTTTCCATAGCATGAAGCCACAAGGAATATTACTATTCCCTCCTGGATTGGATGCTAGTCCATCTCAAGGTTACACCCCCCCTCTTTATTTCATCGAGCTTCCCTAATAATTAACCACCATCCATTCATATTCCTAGCTGGAGAGAGGTACTGCTAGGTTAAATTGTTTTGCCCAGGATCACAACACAATGACCCAGCCAGGTTTTGAATGCAGACTTCTACAACTGGTTGCTAACGCACTAGCCATTTTTAAAGTGATTCCTCAGAAAAGAAACCTACCAATATCTGTTTGGAAAAATACATATCAAAAGATAGGTCACTATGCTTGTGTAATAGATATGATGAGCCAAACTTACCCCATTTATGCCTGTACAGGCACTAATCATGTGCATCATTTCATTGGTTCACAATACATTTTGAGATAGCCGGAGGCAAGGGTTTTTAAAGTAAAACTTGAAAAAAACTTCATGGGTAGAAATTCTTGAGTATATAGAACAATTTGATACATAATTTGAGGAAAAATCCTGTAATTTTAAATGACAAAGTGTTCCGAAAGTCATTGCTTTCAAGGTCATAACTTGCATCATCGAGTTTTCCCTTCTATTAATTTTCTTTTAATTTCTCAAATTTAAAGGGGATGATTTGTACACCAAAATTATGCAATAAAAGATATAGCTCACCCCACTGGTTTAAGAGCCAAAGACAATCAAATCTCTTTACCTGGTCCATTTATTGAAAAACAATACCATGTTCCTGGATGAGGTGACTTTTATACACAGCACGGTATACACAGTACAATACTGAGGAGTCACCTTAAAACACTGGGTGTCTTACTAGAAACTAATCCCACACAAACAAGTTTGCATGACTTTTTGTTTTTGCTTTGGAAACCAAAGCATACAAAGCTTACCTTGGTAACAATCCTCTGTAGAGTCCCCTCCATCCATTTATCTTCTTTACATGACTTGCTGCAGGATAAGGAGGTAAAAAGTAAAGAAACCTAAACATATATGTTACTTTTCTTGATTACCAATATCTTGCTTTTATATATTTTTTTTAACAATAGATTGCATCTGTACTCTTTACAAATACATATTATCAACTAGAAATTGTGTTGTCATCTTCACATGCTGACCAAAAAAATATAAATTTATATTACAGAAACTGTCAATCTTGACTTTTTCAAGACATTGCAAAGGACAAATGAAAGTCATTTGCCAGAAAACAAATCAGAATTTCATTATAGTGCTTTTGCACTGTAGCTGTATTACCAAAACAAATAAGTGATCTGAAAATGACTTATCAGAACCTAAAGTGAATATCACATGGGACCAAATCAGAACTTGAAGTGAAAAAAGCATACTGCTGGAAGTGTAGGAAAATGCAAGTGAGAAAGTCGACATTAGTTTCAGTTTGGCATCTGATTGGTTGAGAGGGTGACAAGAGTTTTTCAGACCAATCACGGGAAGAAGTAAAGTGAAAAAAAGAGACAATCCCAGATTGCTTTCAACATCTGATTGATAACTGCTTTATTTGATTCCTTTAATTGCAGACACAAGGCCAGCCATGTATCAATCTCCTTAAAGCTTATGAGTAATTTTTTATGTACTGGTAATAGTATTTTTTAATATGTCTTTTAATGAATAATCATAATGATTAAAAAAGAATGAAAATCATCTCCTTAAATTCCTTACCATACTGGAAAAAACTTGGTAATCTCAGGACCTTAGTTCCTAAAAATGTTGTGGACTCAGTTGGAGAAATTGGTTCATGTCCAACCTTAACACAAAAATAATTTCATTTCAAACACTCAGTGACTAAAAGTATTAAGTAAAATACAATTCAGGTGATCAGTGAAAATGACCTGTAGAATAACTTTCCATTTACAATGCCTTGCCACCCAAGTTCTAAGCCTCCTCTTATTAAGTACATTTATGCTTAGACTTTGAGAGGGCAACTGAAACAAATTGTACAACTACATTAATCTGAAAAGAGAGAAAAATGATGTCTTTGTAAAGATGTCCATTTTTAATGGGCATTAAAACCCTATAAATGAGAATATAAGAAGTAATTGCCAAACTAAGAAGTTTTAAATGCTAAATGAATTCTCCTTGTCAGTATCAAAGGAAATGTATAAAGGAGGGTATGGAGAATATGGATACTGATGTTAGAGTGTAAAAGATTGACAAAGTTCAGTACTTGAGACGATCATGGCAATTGCCAAAATACCAATCTAATGTCAGGAAATAAGCCAGCCTTTGCTGATCTGATATTGAGCACCAAACCAAACAAACCTGCCATATTATCCTAATTAAAATGATGCTATAATTCATTAGTAAGGCTTAGATCATGAATGGTGCAACATCTGAACTGAACCTAAATAAGAGACCTTTCTGATTCAAAACAAAGACCACCAGAAGAGTAGACTTCTCCTTAATCCTTTAAGCCCTAAGAGTGACCAACATCTAATTTCTCCTTACAGTAATACTGCTAAACCATTCATTAAGATCATGGCAATAAAGGATATGATCGCCAACATGAGAAGCTTTGATCTTCAGATGAATTCTTCTTGTCAGTACCAAAAGAAACATATGAGAAGAGTATGGAGAAAATGGATACTGATGTCAGGGTGTAAAGGGTTAATATCAACAAACTCTGGCTGTTCTTTTTGCCATGATCACGTTGATCACATTACCATGCACTCTACTGCCCTCACTACCCGCCCCCCCCCCCTTCCCTGACTTCAATAAAGCAACCACTCCCTCACTTGGAATTTTTGCGTCTTTTACCCTTGATGATATTTTCAGAGCCAGTAAGAAGAAAGAGCTTTGTTTTCAATTTATGGAGAACGTTTTGTTTCCTGTGGACATTTGTCCTCAATCAGCCTTTAGTTCAGTGAACACCCATCGGCCACATGCATTTGTTCCTTCTCATGAATATTTAAACATTGATGTGGAAAGAAGCCAATATTTTTACTTTTGTATAAAAAAAAATCCCTGTTAAAACGAAGGTAGAAGGTTCTGCAGGATAGAAATATGAATACTAAGAGATGTCACGCAAACACTGAGTTGAACTTTGGGCGCCGGTAAAGTATCAATTAAGTGAAATGTAACTGAGTCATTTGACATTTATAGTCTATTACCTGCATCAGAAGTCGAACACATGTTAGTGGCTGAGTTGCTGTGGTCATAAAAGCGGTCAAAACGAGAGCTCCAGCTGTTGTGCCTTCGTTATCCAAGAGATCTTCCAAGCTTTGCCCACTTCCATTTCTCTCACTTGCAGCCGCCATGTTGAGTTGCTCGCCAGAATGAGGCTGACCGCAAAAAAAAAAAAAAAATCTTCCTTTTGTTTCAAAGGGAGGGGTAGGGCATTCAAAACTGATATTGAATCTACTTTAAATTTCATATTGTCCATCACCTGTAAATCTCTTTGAAATTGGTGCTTATCGATATTCGACATTCTACATTTACACTCACACTTCCCCACTTTTTCCACCGTGAACATTTTTTTCGTGGTTATCCACCCCACCCCACAGAGGCGTGAGATAAGCCGTGGAACAAAATGGCGGCACAAGTGAAGCAAATGTTACTTACTCTCTCTAGTGCTAGTGGTTCCCATAAGGATATTACTGGAAAATATCGCGAAATTTTGGAGAAGATTTTCAAATTTCAAGAGCCATCTCTCACGGAAGGCCTCAAAACTTTCACTGAAGCTTGTAAGTTTGTTGAACAAAAGTTATTGATAAGATGTCAGCTGCCTTGTAATGGATGAGCGACCAGGAAAAAGGGGTCACATCGTAAAGAGAAGCATGAATATTGCAATTGGAAATCTTTTTTCCTGCCCCCCTCCTCTTCCACAGTAGCTCTAACTTCAGACTTATGTCAAGTGGTTACTCTGTCTCTTCCTTTCCATATCAAAGACTCATCAATGATCAGTCGTAGACTTAACAGGAATGAGTGCTCCATCTCAATCTTATGTCATAACCCATCTATTTCAAAAATCTCTTTTACACTCTTATGTTTTCTACCTCTGATCTGTGACATGTGGCCATAACAAGTTCTAAACCTTCTGAGCCACAATGGTTTTGCTTGTTAACATCTTACAATCATTTGTGAAAATGATCATGGGATCAGTTTTAACGAAATTTCAATTTAGCTTAACATGCATGTAAGCACAAAAGTTGAATATGAACCACTACCCTGCCACATTCTTCTGGGTTTTACGATAAATTAACTATATCATTTTCTCTTATGTTTTGCAGTGGTTCATGAAAATGTAAGCCTTGTTGTATCAAGACAAATTTTAAGTGAACTCTGTAATCATATTCCAAACATGAATGTAGCTTGTGCTAAGCAGGTGTCACATTTTGTGTTGGAAAAATTACAACCAAGAGCTATATCTTTTGAGGAACAGGTTAGGAGAATTTTTCAATTTTTTTTTTCAATTTTTGAAGGAGTGAATCATACTCTAGATTAAATGGCCAGTCCAGCCTATTTTTTGCTTGGGAATAACTGAAGTAGTAGGCAACAGGGTCTTTTGTTTAAACATGTGTCATTATAGACCTAAGATAAGTTGTTATGAAAACACAAAAGCTTGCTGGCCAAATTTTTCAATTTATAGAACATTTTAATATGTATGACATGACTTTCAGTTTCTTGGGGAAGAACATTGCAGTCCATTTTTTTCCCTGATAAAATTCCATTTACAAAAGGGCAGATATCTGACATTCAATTAAGCATTTCATCACCATGGAAATTATTTGTTTTTCTTTTTTACAGGTTGCAGTAATAAGGAAGCATTTGGCAAAAATATATGAAGATTGTCAGGAATGGCGAGAGGCTGCAAGGGTGCTTACTGGAATTCCTGTGGAGTCAGGGCAAAGGTTTGGTGCACTTGTGTTATTTAGTTTCATGGAGTGTGATAAAATGAAAGCCCAAAGCTGTCATGGAAAATGGCCAATCATACCACTATAGTGTTCTGATAATTATTGCAGGGTAAAAAATTTCAGTTTGCCTCAATAACTAATGATTTAATGACAATGTTTTTGAAGTTGTGCCTTCCGGATGTGGTCTAATTTTCTGACTGATCATCACATTTTGTGTTAATGTGACTTTTTATGTGATCCAATGCAGGCAATATTCAATAGATTATAAACTGGAAACCTACCTGAAGATTGCACAGTTGTACTTGGAAGATGAAGATCCTGTTCAGGCTGAAGCATACATAAATAGAGCATTAATCCTCCAAGCAGACACAAAGACAGAGAAGCTACAGATACTTTACAAGGTAACTTTCAAACTAAAAAATTTAAATTTGATTCTAAACTTGGTGGCTGTGAGATTCCTAATCAATCTTATCCTGTAGAGGTGGTGGCACCATTGTTAGTACAGGAGAATAGTTATGAAAGCCATCATAAATAGAAACTTCAGGTAAAACTCTTTTGTTATTAAGTAAAATGATGTGAATGGAATGGATTGGGATGGAATGTTTCTATTGGAAAGTTTTCTCAACATGAGTGTGATGTTACTGAATGTTGTTTATGGTCAGATCAAAACACTTGATCAAAATAATTAACAAAGAAATTATAGGGTTTCAAGATCCTCCACAATCTCATGAAAGTTTATACAACTTTAATACTAAGATTCTCTCATCACCTATTGTGTTGCAGGTTTGCTATGCCCGTCTTCTGGACTACAAACGGAAGTTCATTGAAGCTGCACAACGTTATCTTGACCTATCATACAATACTGCAATACATGATGATGAGCGGATGACAGCCCTTAAGCATGCATTGATATGTGCCATCCTTGCTTCAGCTGGTATGCTGTATTGATAGGACATATGTTGTCAGTAATAAACCTTAATTTTCATTTTTAAGCTGTTGAAACATCCTAGCGAAAAACTAGATAAATCATTGCACTGCTGTAATGCACTGAACTTTGGATCAAGAGGTTTGCATTCGGCTCCAGCTGGGTTATTGTGTTGTGTTCTTGCAAAAAACACTGAACTTGTTAAACTCCAAGAGTAACCAACATCTAAAATGCTTTAATTGTTTAACCAATTCTTCTTGTCAGTACCAAAGGAATTGTATGGAGAAGAGAAGAGAAAATGTGGATACTGATTTTGGGGTGTAAAGGGTTAACCCTCACAGAGTCTCTGTCCACCTTTGGGTACAAACGAGTGCTTGCCAACTGTCAGGGAAACTCAACAACAAATTGTTCACTTTAGGAGAACTAGCTTAACTCTGCTTTACTTAACAGTACAGGAACCAGGGTAAGCATCTAGGAAGGACTGGGTCAGTTTATTCACATACTGTATCTGTTTTGTATGTTTTCAGGGCAGCAAAGGTCAAGGATGCTAGCAAACCTGTTTAAAGATGAACGTTGTCAGCAGCTACCTGCCTATGGAATTCTTGAAAAAATGTAATAATTTCCAGAAGTAATTTTATATAACAAACCCAATAGACAAGCTTCATTGTGCATCTATTGTCACTGATGAGTTCTTTTTCTCTTCAAGGTATTTAGACAGGATAATTCGAGGACCAGAACTTCATGAGTTTGCTGCCATGTTAATGCCTCATCAAAAGGCAACTACTGCAGATGGTGGGTATTCATACTGAGTACTTATAAAACTTGGTTTATTTTCCTTGTGATTCTTTAGCAAATTCTAAGTTGACCTTAGTGTATTTTTAAGTTGTTTTTTATCTAAATTTGTTTTATTTTCTTCTATTTTTAAGGTTCTAGTATTCTTGACAGGGCTGTTATTGAACATAACTTACTCTCTGCCAGTAAACTCTACAACAACATCACATTTGAAGAACTTGGAGCTTTATTAGAAATACCACCAACCAAGGTAGACTATGTATTCACCTTTAAGTCTAAAGCATTGTTAGTTTCTGTGATAATAGTCAATTTAATTCAATACAATTCTGAAGTACAGTTTGAAACCTTGGTAAGCACTTTTATGATGGTTTGAGAAATCTTGAAAATCATGACCCTACTGGATGGCACACGGATGGGGTTTTGCTGAAGTCGAAAGATCTCTGATATAGAATCTGAACAGTACTTCAGTGATAATTGGGTGCTCCTCTAGAGCTGGTGAAATCTAACCTAGGTTGGCCACTGTAAAGAGTTTGAAAGCTGACATTTTGGGTGTTCGCCCTTTGTCAGAGCAAATGATGAATGGCTAAAGCTCAAAACAGTACATTTGAAACTCTTTATGGTGGCCAATTTGTTTTATCAACCCAGTTGGTAAATACTAAATTCCCTTGTAATAGCATATCCTTGTTTCCGTGTCCCGAAGCAATAGAATGGATTCTAGCCCATTACATGCTTCTTCAAGCTTTACATTTTAACCCTCTAACCCTAAGAGTGTTTTGAATGTAATTTCTCCATACAGTATCATTCCTGAATTACACATTTAGGTCATGAGAATAAAGGAATTGATCACCAACTAAAGAAACTTGTGACTTTTAAACAGATTCTCCTAGTCAACACCATAGGAAATGTATGTAGAACAGTATGGAGAATATGCACACTGATGCTAAGGGTTAAGGGGAAATTGAAGGAGAAGCTTTTTTTCTAGTTCTAGTGCCCCACCTGCTCTTCTAAATTTTCTCCTTGCATACTTTACACATCTTGATGTATACTTTTTTGATGAATAGTCAAGTTAAGCTAGAAGTTTGAACCAGAAGGCGAGGTAGGTATCTTTCTCATTCTAGAAAAAAAATGCCAGCCTCTTTACCTTTTTGGGGTTATGATAACATGGCAAGATGGGATAGCAATATTTTTTGCTCTTTTTTAGGCAGAGAGGATTGCATCACAAATGATTTCTGAAGGACGCATGTCTGGATCTATCGATCAAATTGACGGAGTTGTGCATTTTGAAAGTAAGAATCAGCCTTTAATTTTTTATTATTTTTTCTATGCTTGGGTCTGAGGTAGTAACCAAATACATTTAATCATTGCCCTTACCTGGTGGTATTTATTTTGAAGAAAGAAAAATTAGAAAGAGAGAGGGGAGGTGTCTAAGCACGAGGAGGCCAGGCACGTACAAATGTGGGAACTCCTCGTCTCGTGTTTGACTCGCGTGTTGGGCAGGCTAGACTGGCATCGTTCTCTGTAGTAGGTTTCAAAATGGTCGATTTTGAAAGCTCGATATTGTTTGAACAGATTTGTCTGGGATTGTGCCTTTGCATTTGTACGTTCAGTGGTTTAGGCAGAAGAGAGGTAAAAGGTTTTGAAATTTTTCGTCAGGTTTAAGTAGCGGATTATGGGAAAAGGGAGCGAAATCAGGGTTCATTTTTTGCCGCTAGCCATACCCGTTGAAGTCGTTCTTTAAATATCATTTTCGGCTAGACCCTGTTGTGTAGCTCCTCTGGGAAGAATACTCAGTTCCCCTTGTGTTTTTTTTTATTATTATTCTCAGCTCAAGAGGTGCTTCCCTCGTGGGACAGACAAGTTCAGAATCTGTGCTTTCAGGTCAATAACGTGATAGAAAAGATCAACAGTTTTGCACCAGAGTGGGTAGCTAAGTATAATGAATCACAAATGATATCTTGATGAAGTTTTAAGCTACTTGGCAATTGTCAAAAGGACAGAGCAAGCGTGCGGAAAGCACATTGGATACCTCCTTTGACGATGTATAGTTCCTTTCCTTAACGTTAAACGTGGAAGAAACTCCTGTGGAATGAGACTTTCCGGAAGTTTGCGATTTCTGGATGACTGCCGTTTGAGTATTAAATCTGAAGAGCTCTTTAATTCCTGAAATAAAAACTTATTTGTTAGAGAATGAATTAACCGTGGTGAATTATTTGGGGACATTATGGTACATTCGCTTTTTTATTTAATGAGGACTGTTTCCACGTTCCAATTAATTGTTCTGGCAACTGCTTTGTTTAGTAAACTGGAGTCATCCCTTCTCCGCTGTCCTTCTCCGGCTTTCTGAATTTGGACGAAATATTCGCCACTAGAGCGTTGTAACTAGGGAGACTCGCGTTCAAAATGATGAATGATGAATTTTTCGTGGACTTGGAAACACTGGTGTACGAACTAAACGCAAGAGAACTAGTTTGACCTGTTCCTGCGGGAAATTGGTTTGGCCTGTCGGCAATGGTTGAGTTCGTTACACAGGTTTCTGAATGAAAACTTAAAATGATAGTTTCCTTGGATAGAAAAATACGAAAGAGACAAGCATGGAGAAGATTGAAAAGAATTGCAAATGATAAACTTAAAAAATTTAAGATACAATAGCTTGGATCCTTTAACCAATCACAACCAAACTGTACAGCATTCATTGTTAGAAAAGCCATACACCTTGATTCTTAGCAACTTCTATCCAAGGGATGAAGAGAGAAATCTGGTAACGAAGGTAAATACCGGTCGACATGGTTATTGCCCTTGACCGTATCACCTGCCCCTCCCCTGCTGCGATGTTTTTTCTCAACTGTTCGCGTGAACACCTAACAACTGAGCATAGTGCGTGGGCGGCTTGAGTTTAGCTACAGGTGATGTGAGTGACAAAGAGAGCTTAAGGAAAGTTGAGCAAAAAAATTAATTAGTATCTTTTAATATGAAACGTCCAGAAACTACGTTGTTGATTTGAGTAGAAAGGTACAATATATGCCACAGAAAGAAAGATTCGAGGATCCCTTAGAAATTAGACCATACTTTTGTTTTTTAACGACTGTTTTCTTACATGCTGGGTCCTCTCCTGTTATGAACTTGGTTTTCTTTCGTTTCAATTTCAATTTAAGACCAAGTACACGATTTTTCATCGCTCAAAGAAATTTTCTTAGGGAACCGTTTCTTTCCCTCAATATTAGATCCTGAAAATGATTTTCCTGATGATTTTCGTTTGGTTAAATAAGGTCTTCAGGGTGTAAATATTGAAAGTCATTTTTCATTTTCCCTGGTTTCTAGGTAGTTGTCATGCCGTCTTTTGTCTCACTCTTTTGTCTTAATTTTAAAATTTAAGCTCTTTTTATTATGCGTATCGAATAGATTTGAATCAGCAGCAAATTAAAGTGGCGTGTGTTGTCTTCTGTTAAGTGATGGCAAATGACATCAATTACAGATTACGCAGGAGAGGATAAAATTTGATATCCATTTCTTATTCGGATGTGGTTTTTTTCTTTCGACCACGAGCTATGTTTTGTAGTATGGTATTTCAACCGAAATTTTAAAATTGACATTGGCCATTACGGTTTTCGCTTAAAAAATTCCTTGTGCCCCCTAGCTCGAACAGGTCGCGTGTTTGACAGAAAAGCGGGTGGTAATCGGGTGCTAATTATAACTCAAGGTCACGCTATTTAAATCCGTGCTAAATTCAGCGTTTACCTTGCTTCGACGGTGTTTCTAAACGCTCGCTATTACCGACTGAAATTGCTAATTCAAGATTCAATGTTGGAAGGAGAGTCTTCTTTTCGCTGTATTCCAATGTCAAAGATGCAGGGAAAGTGCGATGGCCTTCACAGCCCTCAGAAAAGACGAGAATCTTCATGGTAAGAAAAGAATAATTTATTTCCTGTCGCTATTAATGGCAGCACAGCTGATAGAAAGATTAGAGCCACATTTTGCGCTAAATTGTAATCTGTCAAACTTTCTTCCATCAAAACAGTGGCAAAAATCGCAATAAACTGATTTTACGACCGTTATTAATCCATTTAGTTTTGAACATAAGGAGATGTGGCGGTGCAATACGCCCACTGTATTTTAAACTTTTGTAACCTTACAAATAAATTGTGCGACGTGCAAGTGCCGTCTGAAAGCCTTTTTCCTATTATTCGATCATACTACTCTGACGTTTCTTCGTCACTATTGCGACAAAGGAGATTTCAACCCTTTCGCACTACACAGAATTATGTACAAATATTGCCTTGATACCAGCTGTATCTAAACACACGATAGAAATGTGACGGAAAGTTAGTTGAGTTAGTAAGAACCCTCCTGAAACAGTGAATGATCACACATGTTAACTTCTCAGTCTTCTGATACGAAATTTGCTTTTCTGATGTCGAAGCAACTTTTTTCCTTTTTTTAATTTTTTTTTCAACTGAACTTGAACTGGATGTTATTATATTCCTCGGTATTCCTTGTATTTGAACACGGCAGGAAACAGCACCTGACTTGTGGTTTTATAGACATGATAATCGCTTCAAAGAGAAGCCGCCTTATACTGCCTTTGTTCGCATTCAAACAACCAGGAGGGTGAAAGGTTCAGAATTAACGTATGACACAAATAAATAGTGGACTTGTAAAAGAGAGATAGATATCAAAATGGCTAGTTAAGAGATTTGCTGGCGGTGAAGTAAATGAAAGACAAAACAAAGCAGATTTGTATATGTTTAGTTTTATTATTATAGTTATTATTATTATTATTATTGATATTTATATGTTTGATTCTAGAGTTAGGAGTCTTCTGGTTTAGAATTCGTTCCAATTTCTGTTTTTTAATGACTTATCTTGTTATGGTCCGTTTGCTACAGACAGCTCTCTGAGTAGGGCGCTTATTTTATCATGGTTTCATAAACTTTAAGGTCGTTGATAAGTTAGTCGCAATTTTCGTTTTTAAAACTCTCCAAAAGGCTGTTTAATTTTGAAATTATCATCCATAGTGGTTATTAGGTTTATAAATTCATATTTACCCGTCATGATAGACATAATTGAGTTTTTAATAGCTCCTGAATTTCATTTCGTAAATTACTGCTTTAGCTAAGATGAATACCCTTCAAAATAAAAACAGACATTAGTTTATATTGAAATGTAGTTGCTTACACATACAGCTTGATGCCACGGGGTTACTCATACAAAAGTTTTTTAGAGTTCAGTCAACTGAAACCTTCCAGAGTTTTCTTGCATATCATTAGTTGCTTGCTGAGACATGATTTAGAGGGATAAAAAGGGAGTGGGTCCACAGGATTGAAGACCGGAAAAGAAGACACAACGGACATCGAGCCTAAAGCAAGCAGGTCTTGTTGTCAGATGCTAGAAGCGCAATGTACATGGTACAAGTTGTAATTAGTTTTATGATCGTTAAAAGACTTTAGGAGGTGCAACAAGGGGGACTCCCTCTGATTGAAAATTCGGGTTTAGGGGGAGGACACAAGTTCACACAACACCCCCAAGGGTAGGTGTGGAATCGAAAATATTTCTTGCGTGTCAGAAAATATGACATCGCTGCCGGAATAAGGATAGTATTTCAACTTCTTTACACTGAGAACAGAGAGGAAAGTTTGCAATTTAATATTTCGTTTACTACATCAAAACCGTTTCCTATCAAATTCAACATGTCGTCATCATACGAGAACCGTGACCAAGTCCCAGTCGTTTGTTAAATGTGCGCGACCTTACAATCAATGGATCAAAGGGATGATGGGAAAGAAGAGGAGCTGGGGTCTTCTGAACCTCTCTTATTTTCTCCCTTCCCATCAAACTGCTTGTTACATCCTGCCGGTTATGAGGAGGACTATGGAAAAGTTAGTAACAACCCAGCTAGTATTTGGCCTAATTCTCTCTTGAGTTTTCTGTAGCTCAATGGTAAGGCACCAGCCGCGCAATCGGTCTGCTGTGGAATACGTTGAGAGTGTTAGATCTTTTGTGCCATACCTGTCACAGATGTCTAACTTCATGATCATCTCTAACTTTTGGTGAATTTGGCTGAGTAGTGAAATTTGACTGAATTCAACAAAATTTAACCTACCATACTAGAACAACAATACCACATTGAAACTAGTGAGACTCTTTTTGGGGCTAACTATGTTCGCTAAATATGTTCGATAGGGTCAGAACACTCCGCCCTAAAAGAAATAGCTTTATGTGGCTTCTGTTGTCTCAAAGACAAAAAGATAGTTCATAAAAGTGCGATTTACGTTCGAGTGCTCACGACATCATGCCCTAGATATGTCTGTGTATTTATCGACAAGGTGATTAGGCATATGTCCTGTAGTGCAGGGCAGATTAAAAGTAGTCACGTGGGAAACATCTTACGCAAGCGTAGACGTAGAGGGACCTTGGTTGTGTAACCATTTTAGTGAGCGTAATGTAAAGAGAACAAATCCGGCGAAGGACCTCGTGCGTGATAAACGCAACACGCGCCATCTAGAAACACTAAGGATCGAAACTCGTCACGTGCAAAAGTTATTTGCGCAAGCGTAGACGCGCAGGATTTATGCGGCAGCTGGTACCGTGGTCGTTTCAATGTTTCATGAGTTCAGGAGAGAAAAGATAAAGCGAATTGGACAGCTGCGACGCGCAAACTTTTCACACGAAAGGATAGGGTTTTTTTTTTCGCTATGCTTAGGGTCGTTATTCGATTACTTCCAAGTTCGATCTATGGGGTATTTCATGATTGAAGGTATATGTGAAAAAAAAAGGCGTTTGAATTTACAAATTGTCCGTGTTACTTAGACTTGGAATATCTTACCAATTCCCTAATAAATTAACGAATTTATCGGATGGTCGCAAGATGTCTGACAGTGACAGTTCATTTGAAACATGGTACTTTGTGAAGAAATCAGTCAAAATAAAGATGTACATCGTGTAATAGCTAAATTATTAGATATCCATTTTCGCTATCGTTTTGTCGCTGAAAAGAGTACAAATGTAGGCAAGCCGATGTGTTAGTCGTAGACAATATCTCCTGGCCCTTACCTGCCGGCAATTATATAAGTGGTATTTGTAATAAGTTAGATACACCGGGGTAGACTAACAAAATACCAGATACAGATCAAGCACCAAGTCTTAGAAGGACAGAACTGAAATTAAAAAAAGGAAAAAAAGAAAAATGAACGTTTCT